AACCAACTTAGCCACCCAGGTGCCCTAAGACTCAGTCTTTAAGTAATCAAAGACCTGATAAAGAACATGAAGGGGCGCCTGGGTAGCTCAGTCGGTTGAGTGTCTGGTTTCAGCTCAGGTCATGATTCACAGTTCGTGGGTTCGAGCCCCGTGTGGGGCTCTGTGCTGACAGCTCAGAGCCTGAAGCCTGTCTTCAGATTCTGTGTCTCCCTCTCTCTCTGACCCTCCCCTGCTCATGCTGTCTCTCTCTCTCTCTCTCTCTCTCTCAAAAATAAATAAAACAATAAAAAAACCCATGAAGCACAGGCAATTATCTTAATAATACACAGAATCCATGTTTTCTAGGTTAATTATTTATCTGGTAAAGAAAAATCTTCTATGATAATCCAAGAAAGCTTTCTCCTTTTATTTATTTATTTATTTATTTATTTATTTATTTATTTATTTTGAGAGACAGAGACTGAACCACCCAGGCACCCCAAGCTTTCTCCTTTTAACAGGGAGAAAATTAAATTCCAGTTTTGCATAGGCACACTATTGCTATTAAAGCTCACTTTTAAAACACTTAAAATAAATTCATTCAATTTCAGCAGCTTGGTCACACAGGATAAGAATTTCTCCTTTCTCCCCTCCTTCCCTTTTTTAGTGCTTCTCTCTTTTCCCAACTTTCTATGTCCCTTTAGGTTTTGTCTTTTATTTTCTTTTTTCTAGTCTAAAATAAAACTTAAATTACCTTTAATTTAGAACAAATTACTCTCCTTTCCCTTTAACAAAAATGCATTCTCATATCTCATGCCTTTTGCTACCAAAAACACATTTTGCTGTCTCTGTATGCTTTGCCTGAAGTTTTTTTTTCTTTACCAGGTGTAAAGAAATTACATTTTACTATTATTCTATAATAATAATAATAATAATGCAAATTATTATTTCCAGATGTAGGTTTCATTTATATATACTCATTAGCATTCTTAACTTTTAGTAAGCTTAATTTCCAATGAAAGCCAAGTAAGCAGTTGTGAACTGTCTGCTACATACTAACATTGTGAGATTAGCATATTTATGAATACATCATTTTATAATTTCTACACATGCATTTTCATAGTACAACTTTTTGACTTGTCAAAAAGAACATGTTAACAGATCCAAATATCTTTAGTTCCTCAAAGAATCGAAAAAGTTATAAAAAGTTACACATGCGGCTTTTTCTGCCATGTTGACATACAGTAAGCAAATCATTTTTATTGTACCTTTTGTTCTTAGGTTGAATTTATAATTTTATAATCTTAAATATCTGGCAGGGATAACATAAGCTAATTTGACCAATCTTAATTTATGTAAGTGCTTATATTTTTTTAAGCCAATCAATAGAGCTCTTCCACAAGTCCATTTTTAGGTATACCATCCAGAGGGAAAAAATACTGCATCTACATAACATGCATACATTGCCACACATAAACATCCAGACAGGTGCAAACAGAGGTCTTATAGCTTTTATTTAAATATTTTATAAAATTTTAAAATTTGATATCAAGTACAATAATACAAAACTCACAAGCTTATAAAAGAAGAGATCTAAATGGTGATTCTGGCAGATGGGACCATCTGGGTCCATTTAGACCAAAATGGACTAAATTTTGGGCAAGGGAGCCTATGAAATATCAACTAGCAGTTTGTTTTTTATTTTTATTTTATTTTTTTATTTTTTTTAAATGTTTTATTTATTTCTAGGAGAGAGAGAGACAGCGTGAGCAGGAGAGGGTCAGAGAGAGAAGGAGTGACAGACTCTGAAACAGGCTCCAGGCTCTGAGCTGGCAGTCAGCACAGAGCCCGACGCGGGGCTCGAACCCACGAACCGTGAGATCATGACCTGAGCGAAAGTCGGACGCTTAACCGACTAAGCCACCCAGGTGCCCCTAGCAGTTTGTTTTTTAAAACCTGTTTTTTCCAGTTTCCAGAGTTGCTTTAGCTCACAGTTTTCTCATTGGATATTTACATTTCAAAGACATTGTAAGATTAATATTTCCAAAGGACAAAGGATATATGGTTTTCTAAGGAGGAACTCAGAGGTATATTTGCCTGTTATCAAAAATCAAAGATGAATAGGCAAGCCACCGGCTGGACAAAGATCATTTCAGAGCTTATGTCTAACAAAGGACTTGCATGCAGAATATATGAAGTACATCTAGAACTTAATAATAAAAAGACAACTCAATTTTTCAAAGTGGAGGGGGCATAGGAAATAAAGATAAAACGTAGTATGGGATCCTAGAAGAACCTGGAACAGAAGAGGTATAATAGTAGAGAAATTGGTGTATTTGGGTAAAGTCTATAGTTTAGCAAACCAAAAAACAAAACAAAACAAAACACCTTACGGGTAATTACTACGAAGCTTTTTTTTTTTTTCCTTTTTCTAAGGGTAGGACAGTCTGATGAATTTTTTTGCCTGCGGCAGAAGCTGAAAATATGGGAAGGCCTAGACTTCATGGGATCTGCTTACAGAGTAAAGGACAATAAACCAAGTCTTCTTGTGCATTTTCTGTGCTTTTTCAAACTATTTCCTGGCTATCAGTATTTTCACCTTTCATACCTGCTTGAGTGTCCTTTGCAGTTCTTAGCATTTGTTCTGAATCTGATCTCTACCTCCTAATCTAGTGAAGGAAGTTTGTGAAGTTTTTTTCCCTCATACTAGCCATGTATCTTCTGTAACTCTTTCTTTCTTTCTTTCTTTTCTTTCTTTCTTTCTTTCTTTCTTTCTTTCTTTCTTTCTTTCTTTCTTTCTTTCTTTCTTTCTTTCTATCTGAGCTTCCTATAGCTACCAATCTTCTAATCTGATCTTCCTATAAGTACCAATAGGGTATTTGTTTAGGATGAGATGTCTCTTAAAAATCCTTTAGATGTCAAAGTCCAAATTTTCAAAGGTATACCTACTTCAACTATGACTCCAAACCAATAAGCTTTTTCATGGCTTAAAATCAATAAGCCCTTTATGGCTTAACCATGGACACAGGGGTGTCCTCAAAGAGAATGCAAATGATACAGCCCTCTCAAGATGCAGAGCTACTCCAAAGATCGCATAAGAAAGCAAAGACCTTCATTGTCACAGGTGGTAAAGAAAGTTCTGTCTCCCACAAAGTGAGACATTTTAATTCACAGATACACTAATCTATGTCACCTGAAAGGTGGTATCGGAAAAGGGAATTTTCCTGGCACAAACAAGTTAATGAAAGTAGAGGCAGCAACAGCATCCTAGCTGACTGGTTAGCTACTGGAAAGATGACACTGGGACGGGAATTTCCCAGCACAAACAAAGGAATGAAAATAGAGATGGCAATAGCGCCCTAGCCTGCTGGCCGTCTGCCTGATGCAAGCCCCAACCTCCCCGAGTGCCGGAGACCTGAGAGAATAATCTCACTAGTTACAGATCCTGGCTCTTTGTACATAAAATAAGACAAATGAAGATTCTGATAATTTTCATCCTTATGACAACACAAAAGTCAGACAAAGCAAAACACGAAAATTTCTGGGAGGCTAAGAACCAATAACCTACATAGGTACCCCCGATCTAAATTCACAACTCAAGATCTACTTTTATAAATATTACTCTCCTGCCATTATGAATTTAGAAAGGAAATGACAAAAAGAAATGTTCATATTCCTCTCTTTATTGAGCACTAGAGTCAAAGATCTGAGAGACTGACATAGTAAGAAATTCTTACCTTTTGCTGGTCTGTTGTTAGTTCCCTCCTATCTCAATTGCAGTCTCTGGGGAGAGTAGGGTGATCTAGCTTTCTACTGTGCCGTCCTCTTCACCAGAAACTGTACAAGAGGAGAAAAATTGTTTTTCCTACTACTCTTTTAGGGTTTCAGCTGGGGCTCTGTGACAAACGACAGGTTAGCAAGAGAAAAACAAATACGTTTCTTAACAGGCACATCTCATACATATTGGGGAGCAATGCAGGGATGACTAACACAAAGAGGGGCTAGAATTTAGGCTTACATAGATAGCATCTTAACCAAGGAACAATACATTTTTAGAAGAACGACAAGACCAAGGAAAACAGTTTTAGGCTTCCGAGGATAGCAAACTGTGGGAAGATAAGTATTTGATGGCCACTGGAAGATAATAGCTAGTCAGTAAAATTTGTTCTGTGGAGTCCTCTGGGGCTGTCTTGGGGCTGATAAGCATGTAGGGTCGTCAGTGATTAACTTCGGTACAAATTTAGGTTCTGTTTTCAGGCATATAGGTGGAGGGCAGTGAGCTTTCTTAGATCTGCTTCTCAATTGCCTTCAGTTCAGAATAATCCTTATGCCAAAGGGGAAGGCTTTTAGGTGGCATAGTCTGCTCCTTCTCTTTAGGTTTGATTATCAAGTTCCCTTGCTTTATTATGACTCCTTATGTCCTAACATTGAAATATGAGATAAGGCATTGTCAAAAAGTTAGAAACATTGTTCACATGAGGCTTATTTGTAATAGGAAAACATTGATTTATAAGCAAAAAATGTATAATAGCAACAAAAAATTTAAAGTGGGAATATGGCTGAGCAATATGGTATCCTGTTATATACCCATTGAAAATGATAGGTAATGTGTCATGTGCTTTGGGGGAAAGTGTATATAAAATAATTCTAAGTGAAAAAAGATGAAGACAACGTAGTGAATGCAAAATCAAAAATTGGACTCCATTTTCACTTGTGTAAAATGTTCATTCAAGGTTATTTTTCTTTATAGTTGCTCAAATTCATAATAAAATAGGAGATGGTTCCTGCTTTGGAAACAGTACTACTTCCTGAGCTAAATCTTTAAATAATGCCATTTCATCATTTTCCTGTAGGTTAATTCTTAGGATATCAGAGTATCTCTCTTCAAATATTAAAAAAAATTATTTTTAAAGTCCGTGAACCAATTAACAGTTCCTGTTTTTCACATCTCTCAAAGGGTGGAGCCCGCAAACCACTAGGAGAAGAAGGAAGTTAAAAGGTGTTAAATACTGAGGCCAGCTTGCCTTGGTCAGCCTAGGGACCAGTCAACATGAAGGCTCTCCTTATCCTGGGGCTTCTCCTCCTTTCTGTCACCATCCAGGGCAAGGTCTTCGAACGATGTGAGCTGGCCAGAACTCTGAAAAGACTTGGGATGGATGGCTTTAGAGGTGTCAGCCTGGCAAACTGTAAGTTAACTCTTCATACTTGCAAGTAATTAGCCAGGTGTGGAACAGATAGATGAGAAATAATAAGAAAGAGGCTTTGAATGAATGGATTTATTTTATTTCTTTGAGGGTCTGTGTGGTTACAATCGTGAAAAATATCAGCTTGTTTCTTTAGAATCATATGCCAGAAGAAGGAATGAGGGCAAAATTCTATGCCGTTCTAAGTACCCAGGACCCACTGTACTCTTCAAGGGCAGCTGATTTTGCCAGTTGCCTCAGGCTCAGTGGCAGATGAAGTCTGACCAAAAGGTACATTTGAGTGCCTGGAATATGTATCAAGTCCTTTGTACTTGACCCCAGGTATTTCCTGTTTGGAACTTGGTTCCAAAAAAAAATGAGCCTAGAGTAAGGAGTATTGTCCTCTTTTCAAATTTCCCTGCCATGACATGGGATTTTTAACAGCAAAGTTTTATAAAACTATTTTGGACTCTCAGTGCAGGGCCAGTAGGAACCTAGTTCCCCTCAATTACTGTTTATATAAGGATCCCTGAAATGCAGCTTGACATCCTGTTTTATTATTCTTAGTATAGTCGATTATCTATTTTTCATTTTCTTCCACATAATTCAAGATATGTCTGACTAAAAGTTACTTTATATTTTAGTCCGTATTTGTCAAAGTAATCACTATGTTTTCCAGGTTGAATTCAAACATTTCCTCTCAATATCTATTTAAACATCTTTTAAGGTTTTTGTTTTTGTTTTTGTTTTTTGAGAGAAAGAGAGAGAGCGCGCAAGCAGAAGAGGGGCGGAGGGGGGTGGGGGAGACAGAGGATCCGAAGCGGCTCTGCACAGAGAGCAGCAAGCCTGACCTGGGGCTCAAACTCATGAATCCCATGATCATGACCTGAGCAGAAGTTGGATGCTCAACTGACTGAACCACTAAGGCTCCCCAATAACTATTTTTGAATGAATGAGTGGATGGATGGATGGATGAAATGGTCTTTCCTATTTATATTTCTCTGTCTCTTTTTTTTTTATGTTTATTCACTTTTGAGAGAGAGACAGAGATATAGACAGAGTGTGAGCAAGGGAGGGGCAGAGAGAGAGGGAGACACAGAATCTGAAGCAGGCTTCAGGCTCCCCACTGGTAACACAGAGCCCAACATGGGGCCCGAACTCCTGAATAGTGAGATCATGACATGAGCTGAAGTTGGATGCTTTGACTGAGCCACCCAGGCACCCCTATATCTCTTGTTTACCAGATTCTAACTTGATAACCAAATTCACTTTTAGGTATCTTAAGAAAATTTATTTCTCCCAGAAAATTCTTAGTTTTTCTAATAAAAAGCATTTTTCATCAGTGTACATATCTGCTATTAATTTTAAAATTCACTTAACTTCACTTAACGCTATTGATTTTCCTATTCTAGGCTAAATCTTGCATGATGGATGAGAGCAGGGAAAGGGTAATAGCAATGGAAGAAACAGCTATTTTAATATTTTGAAAGTATGTTATCTTGTTCATTAGTATTACAAAATGATTTGCTAGCAAAAGATTCTCACTAAAGTGTTGAAGTATTTTTGGGGGTGCCTGGCTGGTTCAGTCAATGGAACATGCAACTCTTGATCTTGGGGTTGTAAATTCAAGCCCCATGTTGGATGTAGAGATTACTTTAAAAATAAAATCTTGCTCAGTTGGTTAAGTGGCCGACTTCGGCTCAAGTCATGATCTCATGGTTCATGGGTTTAAGCCCTGCATCAGGCCCTGTGCTGATATCTCAGAGCCTGGAGCCTGCTTCAGATTTTGTGTACGTCTCTCTCTCTCTGCTCCTTCCAACTTGTGTTCTGTCCTCTCTGTCTTTCAAAAATAAATAAACATTAAAAATTTTTAATAATAAAGCAAAATCTTAAATATAGATGTATATGTATATTTTTACAAATAAAATACACCTTTATATGTATAAAGTAAGTCATTAATAAAATAGAATAGAAAATTAGAACTGATTATGGTATGACAAATAAATCATGTGGTATTGATATTTATAACTAAAAATACGTTTTTTTCAGGGATGTGTCTGGCCAAATGGGAAAGTGATTATAACACAAGGGCTACGAACTACAATCCCAGTAGCAGAAGCACTGATTATGGAATATTCCAGATCAATAGCCGTTACTGGTGCAATGATGGCAAAACCCCACATGCAGTTAATGCCTGTCATATATCCTGCAGCGGTAAGACAAGATGATATCTGAGATACGGCACGGGACACATCAGTGCCACAAGAACAGAGATTCAATACAAATGAAAATATCTTGAAAGATTCATCAGGGACCTAGAAAAACTCCATCTCAATGTCTAGAAACTCTTTATTATTCTCCCTATAATCCCCTAAGAAATTAGAGAACTGATTATATCATAAAAAGTTGATGTTTTCTAATATATGCAAGTTTATGAAATGATCTATTAATTTATTATAAATGGATTTTTTAATGCTTGTCAAAAACAATGCCATTTCTCCCAATTTTGGGGGGGGGGTTTAGGGGTAATTTGGTTGTGTGGCCCTTTTTTAAAAATTGTTTTTATTTTGAAATGTCCTAAATACATAGAAATTTAGAGACATTAGCATAATAAACAACCATTTACATTTTTATGCATATGTTCTTTTCACTGAATTATTTTATTTTATTGTTAGTGCCTTTTATTTACTTTTTGACAAAGTTTAAATTTTATTTATTTATTTTTAATATTACACTTGTTTAGTGTAATAATGATTTCAGGAATAGAATTTAGTGATTCATCACTTACATATAACACTCAGTGCTCATCCCATGGGGCATCCCTAATACCCCTTACCCATTTAGCCCATCCCCCCACCCAACAACCCTCCTTGCTGAATGATTTTAAAGTGAATTAGAAACATGCTGACATTTCGTTTTTCATTCTTTCATTTGCATCTTCAGAAAATACAGTTCCTATGTAATTATTGTTATACCTAACAAGTTGATTTATGGATTTGTTTAATTAGGGTGAAACAAATATTCTTTTGAACTCATATAAAAAATAGAAATAACATGTGAAATCTTTAGCACATAAATACATTGGAGAAATATAGTAAAATTGATATTGTTAAATTTTAAATGTTAAAATTCCTAATAGACAAAATTTGTCTCAGAATATATTTTTTATCCAGATAATCTATTTTTGATTTATTTTTTAAAATATATAATAATATGTGCTTATTGAATAAAATGTCTTACTATCCAGAGATTTATGACCACTGGTAACTTGTAGTATATATTCTTCCACAAAATGTATCAATCATGTATGAATGTAAAACAATTTCATGCACAAATACACCTACACACAAATATGTAGACAATGTGTGTATTACGAAAAAATGAAGTTGTGCTATATGTACTGCCTTACAACTTGCTCTTTTTATCACACAAAATTATGTCAACAAATACAAATCTGTATTATTTTTCAAGGATGAAAAGAATTCCACATATTAATGTTCTATAACTTATTGGTCCAACTCTTTCAGGTAAGCACTTAGGTTCCTTTGCTTTTTCCCCTTTATTAAATGTCATGAACATCTTGTGCACACATCTGGTGCATTTTTATTATTTCTTTAGGATAGATTTCTGGTAGTAGAACCGCTGATTAAAAACTTGATAATCTCTGTTTGTTTTTTTTGTTTATTGTGTTTTTTACAGTCCCTACTTAAAAAGACAACCTTCTATTGCATTAGTTAATAATTCCAGAACTTCCAATGACTTTGGTAAATGAGAAACAGAATGCTTTATTTCATGCCAAATGGGATGGAATGAAGCAAATATTTCCCCCAACATTCACAGATAAATGGACTCTTGGAATATGATTTTAGTGTTCTTTTCTCAGCCTAAGAGAATATAGCTGGCTAAATCTAAGCTTACAATGAAATTTCTCTGAAAGTTGTTCTCATTCCTCACCACCTCTTTTTCAGTGTTGCTGCAAGATGACATCACTCAAGCTGTAAAATGTGCAAAGAGGGTTGTCAGTGATCCAAATGGCATTCGAGCATGGTACGTTTAAGCATTGGGGACAGCTACTTTGCCCTAGTGTTAAGAGAGAAGTGAGGGAGGGGCGCCTGGGTGGTTCAGCCAGTTAAATGACCGACTTCGGCTCAGGTCATGATCTTAAAGTCCGTGGGTTAGAGACTTGTATCGGGCTCTGTGCTGACAGCCTGGAGCCTGCTTTGGATTCTGTGTGTGTCTCTCTCTGCCCCTCCCTCACTCGCACTCTGTCTATCTCTCTCAAAAATCAATAAACATTAAAAAAAATTTTTTAAGAGAGAGAAACGAGAGAGGATTTTCAAAGACCAAAGTATGCTACTGAGAAGTGAACACTGCAGCTCTAGACATATGTTAAACAAGAAGTTACCTAGAAACAATCTACTTCCTCTGATTTAGAATCTTGCTCTGGAATCACTAAATTCTACTCCTGAAACCAGTATTACACTATATGTTAACTATCTAGAATTTAAATAAAAATTTAAAAATATAGAATCATACTCTTTCACTCTTCAGTTTATTTTAGAGGATTTCCAGAGTTTTTACGATTCTCAACACTCTACCATTTCCTTGTCATATCTTGAAATTACTTTTGGAGTTAAGCAAATGTGGAAAGAACTTTGTGGCTGCTATTGTAGAATGCATAAATCCACATTTATGTTCAGCATTCTGTGTTCCAGTAAGGGCTTCGGGGGAGGTGAAATACTTGGTATATATCTCTCCATTTAATAAATAACAATACCTGAGTCTATCTGTAGCCTATTGTCCATTTAGTGGTAAAGCGTTCTGTTCTTCCAGAGGGTTTGAAGTATGTATATTACAATGAAGATGTGTTTTAACCTATCACCATTTATTTCACCATTCTCTGCAGGGTGGCATGGAAAGCACACTGTCAAAACAGAGATGTCTCTCAGTATGTTCGCAACTGTGGAGTGTAACTGTACAGTTTTCCTTCTTCAGCTCATCATATGTCTTTTTCATATTAAGGGAGTAGTGATTGAGTGAAAGGTCACACTAGCATTCTTTCAAACAATAACAGTTTTACAGATGCAGGAGCAAAATACTGTCTTTCTTCTAAAAGGCTTCATGTTTATAAATGTGTTTATTATTTGTTGCAACTGTAACATTTTTCAGTTTGCAATAGAAATAATGCTGGTGGAAGCTTATCTAAAATCTTGCCTATCGAATACATCTCCAGTACATTCAATTCTTAATCCAAGGAAATAACCCAGACTTCATCTTTAGCACTCCCCAGTAGTTTATAAAAATGTAACAGATTATCTTAAAACAAATTGATCTTAGGCAAAATCCTAGCTGTATAGGCATCTGATGCCTTCATCTGTTCAGTCATCTCCAAAAACAGTAAAAACAAAAACAAAACATACACGCACACACACACACAGAAGGATAACAAAAAACCCAAACCCAAACCAAAGCAAAACACTCTGTTGGACATTATAAAGTAAAAATGCTAAATGGATAAAAATGAAAATAGCTTGAATTAAGGATTTTGCTTTTCTAAAGTGTGACCTTGGTTTAAATGTTTTCTCAGAAATGTTGGTTTCATACTGCTTTAAAAATAAATTGTCAGTTTATGTATCAATCTATTTTAGCCCTTTGGAGAATTCTGTGCATTTTTCTGATTGTGAAGGAATATAAAGGACTAGATGAGCTGTTGCTGTTCTTTAATTTTATTAACTTAGATTCATGCAGAGTGAATAAATCCTGAAATAATTGTTGATTAATCACAAATGTGTAATTATGCACTTTGTAAAAAAAAAAATACAAACATTATCATTAAAGGCTTTGCAACTCATAACTTGTCTGTCTTTGTTTAGACCCATCTAGTGTCTCTGAAGAAAAAAAAATATGTATTAAAAAAATATTTGGCACACTTGATATGTCTCATGTCTTCACCAACTAGCTGGGTATTGCTGGAGAAAAACCCACAAGCATTCTCACAGATCTCACTTTCATAACCACAAATGTGACACGGGCCCTCAGTCTGCTGGCCATCTTACTTCTCTGCACTCCTGTGGTCATATTCCCACTCTCCAAAGGGACTATCACTATTTTACTTCTTTTCCTCTCTCTTCAAAGACCCAGCATACACGTCCAACCACCCACCTTCCACTCTCTCTCAGTAGATCACCTGGCTTCACATTACACTGAGAAAATAGAACAACCTCATATGAAACTCTCTCCTAGCCACCATGACAGTGGTCACACCTTCCCCTGGGTCCAGCTTCTCTTCCTCTGCTCCCGCCAATGACAGTGTCTGCACATGGAATCTCGGATCGAATCCCGCTCACTACTCCAAGTTAATGGAGTGTTTCCTGCATCCTGAGTTTCTCCCTCCTTGCTGGATCACCCCTGCCATTGTACAAAATGTCCTGGTAACCTCCTGTCTTACAAAGACCTCTGTTACCCCACCTCTAAAGACATCATTCTGACTTCTGGAATGAGAGCACCAACTCCATGTCCTCACCTCCCATTCTCTTTTCTAACCATTTCTTTTTAAGTTTATTTATTTATTTTGAGAGAGAGAGAGAAAAAGAGACGGAGCCAAGGAGGCTCCAGGCTGTCAGCACCAATCCCAACACAGGTCTCAATCCCACAATCTGTGAGATCGTGACCAGAGCTCGGATCAAGAGTCGGAAGCTCAGGGTAACTGGGTGGCTGATTAAGCTTCCTGCTCTTGATTTTGGCTCAGGTCATGGCCTTGAGGTTAGTGAAATCCAGCCCCACATCAGGTTCTATGCTGACAGCATAGAGCCTACTTGGGATTCTCTCTCTCTCTCTCTCTCTCTCTCTCTCTCCCCCCCTTCCTCACTTGTGCACACTCTCTCATTCAAAATAAATAAACTAAGGGTGTCTGGGTGGCTCAGTCAGTTAAGCGTCTGACTTCAGCTCAGGTCATGATCTCATGGTTCATGGGTTCGAGCCCTGTGGCAGCCTCTGTGCTGACAGCTCAGAGCCTGGAGCCTGCTTCTAATTCTGTGTCTCCCTTCTCTCTGACCCTACCCTGCTCACGCTGCTTCTCTCTCTCTCTCTCTCTCTCTCTCTCTCTCTCTCTCAGAAATAAATTTTTAAAAACATTACAAAATTTAGAAAATACAAAATAAAAACAAAATAATCAATTAAAAAAAAAAGAGTCAGAAGCTCCCAACTGAGACACCCAGGTGCCCGTCTTTTCAAACCTTCTAAACCTGGCTGCTGCTATCCTTGGTTAGCTGAAACCTCTCCTTCATGGCTCCTTCCGTGACTCCTTGGGGCCAATTGTAGTGATCATCCATTCTCTGTTCACCTTACTTAATCTATCAGCAGCACTTGACAAAGCGAACCATTGCATATTTCTAGAAAACTCTCCCTCTGCTTCTCCTTGTTCACATCGTGCCTCACAGATTGCTCCTTCTGAGTCTTTGCCTGGCCTTTTCTCTACTATTTAGTTTCTAACTATGGGAGGGCCCCAGGATTCATGCCTATAGTCATTTGATAGACTACATTCCTTATCTATCTATCTATCTATCTATCTATCTACCAATTTATTTATTTATTTGTCTTTTCTTGCTGAAATATAACTTCTAAAATAAAAGATTTTAGGGGCACTGGCTGATTCAGTTGGTAGAGCATGCTATTCTAGATCTCGGGGTTGTGAATTCAAGCCACACATTGGACGTAGAGATTACTTAAGAATGAAATCTTTTTTTTTTTTTACAAATAGTTTATTGTCAAATCAGTTTTCACATAACACCCAGTGCTCATCCCCATAAGTGTCCTCCTCTATGCCCATCCCCCCTCCCCCCCACATCCATCAGTCCTCAGTTTTTGTCAGCATTCAAGAGTCTCTCATGGTTTGCCTCTCTCCCTTTCCCCCACCATTTCCCCCCTTCTTCTCCCCCTTGTTCCTCCGTCAAGTTCCTCCTAATCCTCCTATACGTGCAAACATATGATATTTGTCCTTCTCTGCCTGACTTATTTCGCTCAGCATAACACCCTCAAGGTCCATCCATGTTGCTACACATGGCCAGATTTCATTGTTTCTCATTGCCATGTAGTATTCCATGGTATAGATAAACCACATCTTCTTGATCCATTCATCTGTTGATGGACACTTAGGCTCTTTCCATGTTTTAGCTATTGTGGAGAGTGCTGCTATGAACATTGGGGTACATGTGCTCCTATGCCTCAGCATTTCTGTATCCCTTGGGTAAATTCCTAGCAGTGCTATTGCTGGGTCATAAGGGAGTTCTATTGTTAGTTTCCTGAGGAACCTCCACACTGTTTTCCAGAGGGGCTGTACCAGTTTACATTCCCACCAACAGTGTAGGAGGGTGCCCGTTTCTCCACATCCTCGCCAGCATCTAGAGTTCTCTGATTTGCTCATTTTAGCCACTCTGACTGGCGTGAGGTGGTATCTCAGTGTGGTTTTGATTTGTATTTCCCTGATGAGGAGGGATGCTGAGCATCGTTTCATGTGTCTGTTGGCCATCTGGATGTCCTCTTTGGAGAAGTGTCTGTTCATGTCTTCTGCCCATTTCTTCACTGGGTTGTTTGTTTTTCGGGCGTGTAGTTTGGTGAGTTCCTTATAGATTCTGGATATTAACCCTTTATCTGATATGTCATTTGCAACTATCTTTTCCCATTCCGTTGGTTGCCTATTAATTTTCTGGGTTGTTTCCTTGGCTGTGCAGAAGCTTTTAATCTTGATGAGGTCCCAACAGTTTATTTTTGCTCTTGATTCCCTTGCTTTTGGGGATGTGTCAAGTAAGAAGTTGCTGCGGTGGAGGTCAAGGAGGTTGTTTCCTGCTTTCTCCTCTAGGGTGTTGATAGTTTCCTGTCTCACGTTCAGGTCCTTTATCCATTTTGAGTTGATTTTTGTGCATGGTGTGAGAAAATGATCTAGTTTCATTCTTCTGCATGTTGCTGTCCAGTTCTCCCAACACCATCTGTTAAAAAGGCTGTCTTTTTTCCATTGGATATTCTTTCCTGCTTTGTCAAAGATCAGTTGGCTGTATACTTTTGGGTCCACTTCTGAGTTCTCAATTCTGTTCCATTGGTCTATGTGTCTGTTTTTGTGCCAATACCATACTGTCTTGAGGATGACAGCTTTGTAGTAGAGGCTGAAGTCTGGGATGGTGATACCTCCCGTTTTGGTTTTATTTTTCAGTATTACTTTGGCTATTCGGGGTCTTTTGTGGTTCCATACAAATTTTTGGATAGTTTGTTCTAGTTTTGAGAAGTATGCTGGTGCAATTTTGATTGGAATTGCATTGAATGTGTAGAGTGCTTTAGGTAGTAATGACATCTTAACTATATTTATTCTTCCTATCCATGAGCATGGAATGTTTTTCCATTTCTTTGTGTCTTCTTCAATTTCCTTCATAAGTTTTCTATAGTTTTCATCATACAGATCTCTTGTATCCTTGGTTAGGTTTATTCCGAGGTATTTTATGGTTTTTTGTGCAATTGTGAATGGGATCAGTTTCTTGATTTCTCTTTCTGTTGCTTCATTATTGGTGTATAAAAATGCAACCGATTTCTGTACGTTGATTTTGTACCCTGCAACTTGGCTGAATTCTTGGATCAGTTCTAGTAGGCTTCTGGTGGAGTCTGTCGGGTTTTCTATGTAGAGTATCATGTCATCTGCGAAGAGTGAAAGTTTGACTTCCTCTTTGCCAATTCTGATGCCTTTGATTTCCTTTTGTTGTCTGATGGCTGATGCTAGGACTTCCAGCACTATGTTAAACAACAGTGGTGAGAGTGGACATCCCTGTCGTGTTCCTGATCTCAGGGGGAAAGCTCTCAGTTTTTCCCCGTTGAGGATGATGTTAGCTGAAGGCTTCTCATAGATGGCTTTGATGATGTTTAAGTAGGTTCCTTCTATCCCAACTTTCTCGAGAGTCTTTATTAAGAAGGGATGCTGTATTTTGTCAAATGCTTTTTCTGCATCTATTGACAGGATCATATGGTTTTTATCTTTTCTTTTATTGATATGATGGATCACATTGATTGATTTGCGAATGTTGAACCAGCCCTGTAACCCAGGAATGAATCCCACTTGATCTTGGTGGATGATTCTTTTGATATGCTGCTGGATTCGATTTGCAAGGATCTTGTTGAGAATTTTTGCATCCGTATTCATCAAGGATATTGGCCTATAGTTCTCTTTTTTTGTTGGATCTCTGTCTGGCTTGGGAATCAGAGTGATGCTGGCTTCATAAAATGAGTCCGGGAGTTTTCCTTCGACTTCTATTTTTTGGAATAGCTTGAGAAGAATTGGGATTAATTCTGTTTTAAATGTCTGGTAGAATTCCCCAGGGAAACCATCAGGTCCAGGGCTCTTATTTGTTGGGAGATTTTTGATCACTGATTCGATTTCTTCACTCGTTATGGGTCTGTTCAGGTTTTCTATTTCTTCCCGTGTGAATTTTGGTAGTGAGTGTGTGTTTAGGAATTTGTCCATTTCTTCTAAGTTGTCCAATTTGTTGGCATATAATTTTTCATAGTATTCCCTGATAATTGCTTGTATTTCTGAGGGGTTGGTTGTAATAAGTCCATTTTCATTCATAATTTTGTCTATTTGGGTGCTCTCTCTTTTCTTTTTGATAAGCCTGGCTAGAGGTTTGTCAATTTTGTTTACTTTTTCAAAAAACCAACTCTTGGTTTCATTGATCTGTTCAATTGTTTCTTTGGTCTCTATGTTGTTTATTTCTGCTCTAATTTTTACTATTTCTCTTCTTCTACTGGGTTTAGGGCGTTCTTGTTGCTCTGCCTCTAGCTCCTTTAGGTGAGCTGTTAGATTTTGGACTTGTGCTT